GCAGCATTTCGTGCCCACGTGCAAAGCTCCGGGATTCGAGCTAGCACCGCAACCCATGGCACTGTATTCTAGCTGGTTTGATCGAGTCTGAAAACTGAGCCTTAAAATCGCAGAAACACCGTGTGTCGCAAAGGTGTCACAAGTAGATATCAACTTTCGCAATGGAACATGCACAACACCCCAACTTCTTCCCTCAAGCCTAGGCCATTCAGGCACATGATGCCCGGTACGATTGGAACGTGGATCTCATACTTCCGGCACTCCTGATGGAAGGGAAGATCCAAGTAATGTGATCAGAACCTGATCAACCTGTGATGGTGTCTCTGCAGAATGAATTGATGCCGGATGCTACCAGTCACATTGTTGTTTGACCGCACAAACCGTCATGCACGAGGTTGGGGAGGCCGCAGGGAATTCCTTCTGGTTGTCCTGTTCCTGCAAAAAGTCCTTGTTATTGATCTTCTTCTTTGCTGTTCCTGCTACGTCCTACTGTGACATTCTGAGAGTGATGTTGCCCTGGAAGCACGTGTGGCCTTCGGGGTGGTGCTCTTCTTGATCTCTTGATCTCTTGTAGCGTCCTTGCTCCTAGTAGCGATGCCAGGAGCCCCTAGTAGCTTCTTGTCTCTGACTTATTTTCTGTATTGCGAACAAGTCGTTCACTGTCTTTCTCTGTTTCTCAACCTCTCGCCGCTTCCTGGGGCGAGCTGAATGGCGGTTCCAAGGAAGGCCCCTCCTGAACAAAGTCCAAGAAGACCTGGGCATCGAGGAACATCTGAGTGATCACAAAGGCGGCACCAGCATCCACCTTCTCCTTGAGATACACCATCTCCTGACAATCCAAGGTGGAATCCTCTGTGAACGCGATGCTTCTTCACTGCCCATGAGTACATCCTTTCTATTTGCCAGGTTTAGATTAAGCTGTAGAGCTGTAACCTGGCTTTTGCGAGTGGCAACTCAGGAACCTCAGCTTTGATGGTATGCTTCAAGGGGCTTATATAGTATTTAGCGGAGCACTCTCCGTACTAACGAGTCTGTCGGCAGCAAAGACTTGTTTTGGTCCTTGTGAAAGTTGGCGTCGCGGCAAACCTGGGCATGCTAGCTCCAACTGAAACTCATACCTTCTGATCTCAATTTCCATGGACTTCGGAGCTGCCATCGCGGTTTACCTACAAAGTAACTTTGGCAAACACGAAAACCCAGAACTGTACAAGCCCTGTCGACCGACACTGTGCACCCGGGCGGTGACCTTTCCATCGGGCGCCACCCGACAGCGGCGCTGCTCCGAGGGCGTCAAGCTGGCAACGCTCGGGACGTCCTCGATGTTGTCGGGGTGGCCTGACGCGCGTCACGAGTCACGGCCGACGTCCATCGGCACGAATTCCGGCTCGGGCTGACCATTGGATCATTTCACAATCCATTCCGCCCATTTGCTGCACACCAGAGCTAGCTGACCATTGGATCATTTCACAATCCATTCCGCCCATTTGCTGCACACCAGAGCTAGCTGACCATTGGATCATTTCACAATCCATTCCGCCCATTTGCTGCACACCAGAGCTAGCTAGGCTTGCAAGCTTTGTGAACCAACCCTTTGAGCCTTCCGGGTATCCAGCCACAGAGCAGCAGAAGTAGTCCCCATGGTTCTGCCGAATGAACCTTGGAGAGAAGATTTTAGCTGCCCATCCTGCTTGGTTTAGGTTGGCTTGAGCGTAGCCAGCAGAGACCTCTTGAACCTATGAGTCACAGACAAGTCCTTTGAAGACCCAAAACGACACAAAATGTGTTTCCTTGATCTGTTGCGTCAAGGTCCCACCTGCATCAAGGTCCCACGGCGCGTCTCATGTTGATCTGATAAGCTCCACATCAACATCAACGCCACCCATCTCGGCCAATCAATTTTGCTCAGACACTTCACCAAATCCAAAGCGCTGCTGAAGCCACCCTCTGTTGCAGTCCACTTCTCTTGACCTCGCCACCAGCGACGCTCACGCAGGTCCCAGCGCCTGCCATCCCAACGGTCCAGCCGTTCCTTTCACCCCACGGCCTCGAGGAGGATCGCCGCGCAGGGCCACGATGTTCCGAACTCCGAGCCTCAAGAGGATCTTCATCTACGGAAGGACTCCGGAGCAGGGGTGTCCACCTGAATTTAAAGAATATCACAAAAAAGGAAACAAAAATGAAACGAATTTTCCAATAAAGATGGCCTCCACCCTAGTAGCTATGGCCTCCGGAAGGACTCCGGAGGAGGAGCACGGGGCAGCAACGGGGCACGGGGTGGCTGTGCCAGGCCCGTAGACTTGAAACAGGAAAGTGGGCATTGATGTCGAATCGGGATGAACCATGCGAATAATGTAAGCAGTTCTTACTCGGACACACATTCGCTCTCGGTGACCGAGCGATTGCTTTGAATGATGGTTTTGCGGCTAGCTACTATGATTGACTCTGAAATGTTGCTCCTGGACTAGTTCAGCGAAGCTGTTTCTGGTTGTACAATTGTCATCTTTTGCATAATGTCCATGTCCCATATGAGAGAGATGCACATGTAAAATGTTTGTGCCAACAAAAACAACATTACATTCAAGAGAACTGCCCGTGAAATCCCATGAAACTGATACAAACATCCCGGGTAACACCGCCGCATGCTGGACACAATGTCAAGAACTTACCTTGTGTCTGACCAACGCTCCCTCCACCCGACTGGCTCTTGGTACCAAGTTGGAACTAACACCAGTTCTGTCATCGACACGAATCAGGCCAAGGCACTGCTTGCACTCCTTCAGCGCGTTCTCGGTCATCCTCACCATTCGAGCCGGTCACTTTAGGTCTCATCCTCTCGTGAACTAAGGGCATTTCTTTGAGTAGCACTTATGCCGCAGCAAAAAAGGATTGAAAATGCCGTGGCAACCCTGGCTTTCTGCAAATCAAGGTGCTCAGAGCTCTGATTGGTGCAGGTCAAGTGCATGTTGGCAACACAGCCAAACCTTGGTCGAAGACCGACTTGGACTGACGGACAGTCTGCGGCAGCCCTGGCCTCAGAGAAATTCCATCTTTAATGTCACGCGGGCATACAGTCAAGTAGCCGGAAGACCTCAACAAACCTTCACAATAGAACTGGCCAATTCGGAAACAAAAGCTTCCACCCAAACTGCACCAGCCAGGCTGGCGGTTTATTCAGGTTGGTGAAGGCAAATACTGTCCTGTCTTGCTGGCAAAACCTGGCAAGCGTATGCATACAGGCCCTCTTTCGGGACTGGAAAAATGTTGCTTGTCTCGAGGAGGCTTGACACCTTAAAAAAGGCTGAAGAGCCAAACCTGCTACTGTAGTAACTAGTTGCCTTTTTGTTTTCAGCCCGCTACCCCCCTCCCTACTTAGTTAAGTAGGCGCCTACTACTTAATTATTGAGGGGAGAGGTAGCTAGTAGCTACTAGTTTTCTACTACCTAGGACCCAGGATAACTCATGCATCTTCAAGGAAGCTCCCCACGCATGAGGGCGGGAAAGTTAAATATATTTGTAACCAGTACCACACTGAGCACAGGGATTGATTGCGGGGAACATGCAGACATGATACCGAATGCACTCAACGACTCGACCCTCTCAATAGATTCAAAAGTGAGCTCTTGTTCGTCTCTGCCCAAATAACCCTTGCATAGCTCCTTTCTTTTTGGGGCAACAAAAGAAATCGTGAAAAACCTTTTTGGTCACTCCCGGTCCAAGGGCTCATTCTTGGCCGCGCTGGTCAGCTTCAAGGTGAGCTCGGAGGTGGAACCCCCTGCGCCCCAGGTGAAGTCAGTGAAGAGTGGCTTCAGCGCCTCTACCAGCTTGACAACACGTCACCGACGAGATGCCCAATCGGTGTGGCACACAGAAGTCAAAAAACATCTAGCAAGTCCAGGAACACGTGAACCAGGTGCTAACTGATGAGTGTTCAAGCCAACTGACGATGACATCCAAAAAATGTGTTTGGTGTCATTTGGTGGTACGTAGTCCTTTCGCTAGTGCCAAAGGCCTGACTCTTGCCCGTGTTGCATCATTCTCCAACTGTTGGTCTTTGACTTGTCCCGCATGGGGGTGCGGTCGTCGGGTTCAGCACGAACCTGCCCACCCTGCCCTCCTTCATCTTCACAATGCGCTTCCTCAAGTTCTCCACACCCTCCGCTGTCTTGGGCGGAAAGTACTCGAAGGAGAACCACCCTCGCTCATTGCACGACCAAACCGGAGCGACGGAACTCCAATATAGAAAAGCACAACACTTGAAAAGCACAACACATTCCTTTGATAGGTAGTGTGAGAAGCCTTCACCAGCTAGCCCACCGAAGGCAAATCGCCTGCCTGGTGGGAGCTTCGCCACGAGGTCAGAAATCTTGTGATCATCCGGATACGCCATGGCTAGTGGCTAGTGAGGCTGGGTTTTTGAAGATTGAGAGACTGCGAGATCGTCCACACATGCACAATCAAAGTGTTCAAATAGATACATATGGAAGGAATAGCTTGAGTGCTTGTCGAATGACTTTGGGCTGTATGTTGGACACAACCATCTTACAGGGACGAAGAGTTAATTTCCACTGGCTTCAATAGGATAATGGTTAGAGTCAGAGTGTATCAAAAACTTGCCGGGACTCAACAGACATGAAGAGGTCAGCATTGCAGGATCCTAGGGGCTAGATCGAGAATGCGAACGTCCTTCGCTTTGCTAAGCAGGAAGTGAAAAACCACCAGGATCTTAGGTTAGTTCAGTAGCCACACAGTCTGGAAAGTGGCATCTAAACCCTATCTCACTCTTGAACCGGGAAGAGCCCCGTTTGTTGCTGCCCCCAAGGGCGCCTCGTAGCCATAATGTGCGGCTAGGTGCAGGGCCGTTTGTTGGCGATTGTCTGGAGCATCCACGGTCAGGCCTCTTTTGATGAAGGGTTGGTCAACTTTCTAGTTGTGAATATGGTTATAAATACTTTGTACATATACTGTCATGCTCTTTCATGCTCTGGTGCAGCCCAAAGGGTTCAGAGTCCTACTTGACTACAGGACACAAATCTTGCCAAACTCAATCCACAAGCTGAAATAAACAAGGCCTGGCCTTCTTGAATAAGCCATTTGACAATCTCCAACTCACCCGCAAAAGCTGCCACATGCAAAGGTGTCCTCACAACGCTGCAAGGTGTCGCACAAGGAGCAGAAGGAGAAAAGGAGTGTGGCAAAACTTGAGACTTTGTGTCCAAAGAGTTGGCACTTATGCCCAACCATGCAACGGAGACTTCGCTTCATAACTTCCTCTGGATCATTTCATCCGTCCTTCCCAAGCGGTTGCTGGCCGTCAATTCAGCACCACAGGCAACCAGGAGCTTGACTAACTCCAAATGCCCCTCTTGGATGGTCACGTCCAAAAGCCTGGCTCAGCAAGCCTCGAATACTGCTGTGTGAAGACAACAATAGTCAAGAATGTAAGCTAGAGGCTACCAAGTGGCCCAGCCCATTTCTTGGAGCTTTCAAGCTCGGACAGACTCGAAGTTCATGAGAAAAGGCGGTTGAAGGACATGAACGTGTGGTTTCTGCAGGTGTCTCTGTGTGTGTGCGCGCAATGTTGAGCCCAACACATATCTCAAGGGAAGTCTTTGGGCGAATTTACGGTTTCAAGGCAAGAATTGCACTCCAACTATGCTCTTGTCAAGGTGGGAAGTGCAACGCCCTCCTGGAACACCCTCCTCGGTGAAATCTTGCCAATGTGGAGGGTCTGGCCGTTCAAAGGCAAACAAGTTGCCAAGTCTTAGTTTGCATGGGATCGCAGCACTTTCCCACCCACTTTTGCACCCACAATTCCGCCAGTTGCCAAACTTCCTAGCCAATGCCCGTGTTCAGGCGTTTTCAAAGGCCAAGAAGTAAAAAAAGACACGCACAGCAGGGCTTTTGGGGGAGCCAAACTACAGGAGAATCACAGCAGGCCTTCCCTCAAGCCCTTCGACTGCAGCCCTCGCACCTGGCACCACTGAGGTCGACCGCCTCTGGGGAGGCCTTCGCTTCACACAGCTCCAGCAGGATTTCTGGGAAGCCTCGCTGATGAGAAAAACGTCTCGATTTGGTGGAAGCCTAGTCTGAAAAAGAGAAGCCTAGTCTCAAGAACTAAGCTTAGTCCGTAGTAGGTGAAGTAGGTGGAAGCCTGCTTCAGGAGTTTGGGGAACTTGCTCAAAACACTTTGGAAGGCAGCAGAAAGTCCTTCGGACTTTTTGACCTGGACAAATTAGTTCAAGAAGAACGTGAAGAGGTGCTTGTCGGTGATTCCGTCAATACAAGAAGAAGATTCAGGCAGGATGTCTTAACCTGGTCAATCTTCAACAATTTCCCCCCTGCCTAGGAAGTATTTCACTCACTTGCCTCCAACAGAGATGGGAAGGCAGGAGTTTGAGGAATCCCCCATGGGACTTAGGGTTTGTAGACGTCACATGCTTGTGCGTGTCTGGACTGGCCTCTTTGAGATGCCAAGAAGGCAGCACTCATCCCATGGGGCCCAGGAGCATTGACATCGGCTTGTAGCTGCAGCAAGCAGCGGATCACCTGCAAAGTTGCTCCAAAAAACGTCTCCTTGAACTCATGTATACTCGAAGATCTTGATTTCCAGACCCCCATTGCCGACATGTGAAACACCCCTAACCCTAAAAGATTCCAAAGCTGGCAATTTGCCTCTTCACTCCATCCAGAACGCTCCTTCAATTCCGTCCATCGGGCGCAATCCTGTCCATCAAACACGGCCTCCAGGTGATTCTTCTGTGCTGCGATATGCAAGGGCCGCCGGCCGTCCTGATCTAACGGTGCTCTACCTTAAACAAATGACTAGTGATTCACTTCTCTACAAAGTCTCTGTTCCACCCGTTTCCCCTCTCCTCCGCCCGGGGGTTGCTGGAAGCTTTGGCTTCCAGGAGGCACCTGCCAGCCAGGCACCACAACACCAGTTTGAGAATTGTAGACCATCAATAAATGATACAAAAGCTGACGTCAAGCCTTTCGAAACGCTTCAAAGGACATGGGGGGCCGCCCACCTCACAACTTTCACATGGCCGCTCTGGGCAGCCAAATGCACTGGAGTGGCACCATTTTTCATTGGTTTCTCCTGCATGCTGACCGGGCAGACCAACCCAAGAACCAGTGAGTCCATCACAAATAGACAGTCATAAAATGTGATAAACACTATACCAGTTTCTCAGCCATTTTGGCTCCTTGGAGGCACCCGCGGCCAAAAGCTCTTGGACCATCTCAAGTCGGCCATGATACCTCGAGCGGGCGCCCGCTCCGGGGCTCTGGGATCCTCTGGACAAGCATCAAACCTGTAGTTACAGGTAAACGACCGAGAACTACCAACAAGTCGCACCTGGTTTTCCTTGAGCCAAACGGTAGGTAAGTGAGACATGTATTAGACATGCTAGCGTGAAACGACACCCCCCGCTGAACGAAAATGGGAGGAGTGAAGTTATGTACAGTGCATTAATTAAGGACCTACGAAGGTATCCGGTCCCCCGGTACGTGCGACGCATCGAACCGGTACGTGCCTTGAGATGGAGAGGATAGTTGACCTCAAGGACGGATCATATAAAGCACTGTAATGTTTGATGCTAGTGTTGAACATGTCTCAAATTGATTCATGCGTGAAAGCTCAACGCACGCTGTCAAAGATAACTCTTTTGGCGCAGCGGAACGAGAAGTGCAACGCCAACCTTTTAGAAAGTAGGAACAAAGCCATCAAGGCACACGCTCCCGCGTGGCGACAAAGCACAACAAAAGATGTGCGCTTCAGGCTGCAAGGATTGAGAGCCAAGTTCGTCGACCTGAACTCAAAATGAATTAGCTGCTGGCATCAGGCATCCGGTCCCCCGGTGCATCACAGAAACGGTCATCCAGGCAACCGCTCCCGCGGTGCGATGAGGGAAAAACACAGTGCATTACGACAGCCAAGTCACCCGTAGATTTCATTCTCTTCTCCACAGGCAACAGCTCCCGCTGTGCGTCGTGTTCACCACCTGCGCTGACTCCACCAGTCTTGTCCTCGCCAGTCACTGCCACGACCGCGATCATCCTGCCACCAGTTGCGGTTTGATGAGGACCACCAGGAAGATGATGAGGACGACTGCTGCCAATCATGGTATTGATCACTTCCGGCAGCTCCTCGCCATCGATGCTCTGAGGTTTCGGCTTGAGTCCATGTGGCTCTTGCCAGACTTTCACCTGCACCTGGCGCGGCCTTGGCCTTGGGAATCACAAGTGCCCTTGTTTCTTTCACAAGATTGATATCCATGCCAGGGACAAATTGAGCATCGCCCATCACGAATTCCAAAAGTTCGTCCAAAACATCATCAGGGTCCGTCTTCTCACTTCGCCATTCACCTCCAAATCCCAAAATTGCGGGTCGTTTTGCACCTTGGCAATAGTCAGCAGCGAAAGTCTCAGGGCGGTGCAGCCTGTTCTTCCAATAAATGAAGAAATCCTCACTCAAGTCAGCATCATTCCCTTTTGCCGGTTCGTTCATAAAGATGACTTTCCCAGCATAGCGATGACCGATGCCTCGAGCAATCATTTCCCTTGTCCTCGGAGGGTCAGGGATTACGGCATCTGACAATCGTTCCAGAAATTGAACGCAGATTGGAGAGAGGTCCTGGGCCGCACAGTTGAACGCGTAGAAAGCGTCAACCAGCTGTCGCTGTGACACTGTCATGGACATTTTCTCCGCCTTCTGGACATGGCTTTTGGCGTTCGCTTTCAGGATGTTGATACCCGAACGAGAAGCACGTTGAACTTCATGGCCAGGCGTCCCCGCCGGCGTCTTCCTCACACCTGTTCCTTGCAGCCTGTCCTCAGGTACCATGTCCATCGAGACTTCGATACCGAGATCGGACGCAATTTCCTCGATCCGAATGAGCTGAGCAGCTTTACAGAGATCTGAGGCATTGTTGAGGAAGGCGCCACAAGTGATGCAGGACATCATGCCATGGGTGTAGGTGCGTGTGCATGTTGGGCACTGATCTTCTGGCATCTGAATGCCCTCAACGACCATCCATCCGGTGTTGCCATACCCCTCGGCATCGGGGTGGATCTTGCGCCAATCAAACCGTGGGCGGTTGTAGTTGGGCAGCATCTCTTTGGGCGACACCTGATTCCTGTAGGCATTGAAGTTGGGCCTGCGAACGACATACGTGACCTCGTAGGTTTCCAAATCAGGATTCCTCTTTCCTGACACCATTTGGTCTTTCACGCCAGGGCGTTCAGACAGTTCACCGTAGACGAACGGGGAAAAGGTATCCACCTTACCGCACCACCTCTCATAGTCTTTGAGGACATCGTGGGTGTACTTTTCAAGTGGGCTTTTCACCATTTCATCGTCATCGGCAAGTGGTCCCCCAGTGCGTGCTGAGTTGAATGCTTTGGTCTCACCGGTGATAATGCCTCGGTAGTGTGCGTACACATGGTTTGCGAAGGCGTAACACCGGGATTCCATGTCATACACATAGATCACGTTCCGATTTGCGAGCCAGTCAGGGCATAGGATTGTACCAGCAGTGGTCTCTATGAGCCGGTGTCCGTTCAAGATCATCATTTGAAGGTCCAAGGCTACGCAGATGGGGCGAGTCGCCGCCATCGCTGCATAATCGGTGCCCGAGATGGTCCACGGATCTTCCTTCGTCAAGAAGGTGAATCTGGCTCCAGTCCGATTGCCGCCTGGAATCAATCCCATGTTGATGATCTCAACTAGTGCTGCCCGGTGCGTGTAGTGATAGAGGATGGTGGGTGCCACCTCCTTCACCTTTCCCAGCGCACCACGCGGAACCCGAGGGAATTTGCCGGCCAGGTATTCAACCGAAGTATACTCCTCGTCGAGAGTGACAAAGCGTTCATGCTCGGGAAGTGCATCCTGCACGTTGTTGCTTGACCATTCATTGTGGTTCTGAATCGCTTTTATCCTGAGAGGTGTATACTGGTATTTTCCACCGACCAAAGTCCCCTTTGGCGCAATCTTCACCTCGAGCATGAATCTGTGATTGGATGTGACAACCGTCAAGAGGTCATCGTTGGTAAGGTTGACATCGTACTTCCGCTTGATGAACGAGTACACCTTGCCAAAATCCATCCACAGCCCAGCATCGAAGCTTGGAGGCTGCACCTTTTGCCAGGATTGCTTACTATGCTCCCATCCACGGAGCAAGCCCGAAACGCGTCGGGAAATCCAGACTTGCTTTGAGTTCAAATTCGGCAAATTGGCAGCACCAGGAACTGATCTTGACTGCAATGCCACAACTTCGTTTTCCCCAAGAGGCGACGAAACGGGAGGCACCGGAGGTGCCCGAGGCATGGCCTTGGCTTTGACAGCTGGCTTTGCTGTCGGAGTTGAATCCGAGGCCACAGCTCCCGCCGGGCGTTTTGGTACTTTGGGCTGAAGTTCCTCTGTCGGCTTCATCTCAACATCGGCCTCAGCTCCCGCCGGGCGTGCTTTTGCTTTCGGTGATGCCGGTTTGGTCTTTGACTTTGCAGTCTCACGTGGCGCTTTTGGCGCCCCCGGCTCACCTGATGCTTTCGCCTTTGGGATCCTCTGTTGTGGTGCCTTGTTGGCCAGGTCGGGCTCATTCCCCAAAGTAGTAACCTCGCGGAACTTTCTGAGTGCCTCACCAGTGAGCTGCGGGATGTCTTCTTCTGCCATGTAGATACGAATGACATCGCTTTCATCCTCCTTCTTTCTCAACTGGTAGGTGACACCCGCGACCTGACATGAGTCGGCATGCATAGATGTGAGGATCGGTTCCTTGAAAACAATTTCTTCATCTGAGTCATCATCTGGCTGATCTTTGTTTTCAAAGCCCTGTTTGATGGCGGAATCAAGGTGATCTTTGAGAAGTTCGTTGACGTATAGTTTTCATCCGCAATGGGGTCATTGGACACATGAAGTTCCTCTTCCTCCGTGATGGTAACGGGGTCCACCTCGGTGTCACCGAGCTTAGGCATTTCAGCGGTGACAGACACGAACTCCATGCCCGGAGTATTCACGGGAGCCTGGTTGTTTGCATCTCGACCTTCCGTCCCCGGAGGCGAATCAGCGCTGGGCGCAAAGGTGTCGTCGATCTCAATGACCTCAGGCACACTTGCATCTGGCATTGGCTGATCGGCCTTTGACGGTTCAGTCGTGGCTTGCACATCCTGACCCTCGTCATAGACATCCGGACCAACGGTTCCCCGTGGCATATTGTAAAGTCGCTGATTGAACGGCAAGAGCTTGGCAGCTGCAATCTGCTCCTCAGTCGCATAGACGGGGTCGCCGAAGTCATCCATGTACGCGACCTCATCAGTCTCAGTGACCGTCAGGAGCCAGCCGTTCTTTTGGTCAATGGCAGTTTGCCTCCGCTCTCCCGGGACGATCTCATGGTGCTTGTCAAAGTCACCCAAGAACAGGTATCCGGAGTCGATGCGCCGCTTCCAGATGTGCTCAAGCATGTATTGGCGGTGTGTTTTCTCTCCACGAGGCTTCGCGAAGAGGTTCGCGTCTTTGCGCAATACATCGACGCCAGCAAGCACCCAGTAATGGTAGGCAAACAAAGCAACATTTGCATAGAACTTCACGAACATCGCCCGGTTCTCCTCAGTGTTGTGACAGTGAAAACTGTCGTACCTCTGACAGGAGCGGACCAGGGTGGTGCCTGTCACGTTCGTGACGCCAAGGCGCGTGAAGACATCTGCCGACTGGCACATTTGGCGGGCATATTCCTCCGGCAGGCCGTAACTCTGCGAGTCACAGTAGCAGATGACGATCAGAGCTGCTACATCCTTTCTCTGCCTCAGGTCCGCCAGACGCCTCATCTGTTGGGCGTGTTTCTGTGCCAGCTCTGCTTGCCATTCATAGGCTGCTCTCTGCTTGGCAGGATTCCTGTGGAGCGCGTTCGTGTCAACCCAAGGGTTGCCCACGAATCCGTGGTTGCCGTAGACATCATTGCCGGCATATGATACCACAATGACCGCTGGGGCAACACCTCCCGGTGTGCGACGCTTTCCGTTGTCGAGACAAGCCTCGATACCGTCGATGATCGCTTCTAGGCCACGGCCCCAGTGCAGGCTGTATTGAACACTTCCTGCGCGATCCGTCAGGAGCGACGGTCCTGCCTCCTTCAGGTATTCGCCCACGTTGCGCTTGACGCGCGTGGTCTTGCCTTCAGAATCCACAGTTTCATCCACAAGTGCCATCGACGAATCTCCGGCAAAAATGAAGTCGACCACGGGT